ACTATCACTATGTGCCCTTATTCTAAACTTTGTGATTGTGAATTACTTGATCGTGTTTCCAGAATATTCTGTATAAAGAAAGAGTATACAGGTGAAAATTTTTGTTTGTTGCTTTTCTTCATTTGACAAGCCAAGCTGGTACATCCATATTAATGAATTAAACTGATTCTTTCATTATATCTGGAATGCAAAAGTAAATAAATAATTTATTAATTGTGTTCTTTTATTCAAGCTTCTAGAGTAATTGTCATGATACCTAAGTAATCAGACTCAATCTAAATAAATTAATTCAATAAAATATGAGCCTAAATTATACCTAAATGGAATAATTTCATTAACACTGTCAGTAATGCGTGGAAAATCTTCCAGGCATTTTAAAGAGCATTAGTAGGTTAAATGTGATCAATAAAATATGAGTAACAGTAAAATTCAGTAAATTAAGCAAACTATGTTACTGGTTGGAAGAGGGGTGATGATATTGCTCCTTAATTTACTGAGAAACTTAAGGTTTCCTACATGAAAATACTCATCTTCCATCTTCTTTTAAAAAACCATCCCATTTCTCTGGCTCATTTCCATTACACAGTCTCTGAGAAAGAATCATTTTTTTTTCTAATTAAGTTTACTCATTTGCTTATGATCTAATCCCAATCAATGTTCTGTCTTGTCTAGGTTTTGGTTTGCCAAATAAGTTCTTTAGAATTGTACATACTTACCTTCCTTCCTTCTTTCACTCCTTTCTTTCTTTTTTCTACCAACTATTTCCTTCCATTCAGCTTGAAAATATGGTTAAGGGTGGACCACAATCAACCTCCCCCCGCCCCCATGAAAAGCAAATAACTTTCTCCAAATGTTATTATGTTCAAACTACTTGCTGTTGTGTCACTTTTTATAATTATCTTTCAGAAACCTTAGAAAATATTTATATCCCTGGGGCCTTTCCTTCCACAGAGCTGACTTATTTTATATAATCAGAATTTTTCTCTCGAAGATCATCAAATAACTTTTAATTGGCCCATTAATTTTCTCTTCAATACTGATATCAATGCCCAAGATCTTTTCTTGAAATATTTCCTTTCCAGTGCCCATTATTTGCTTCCTATCTCTGAATTCACTCTTTTTTCTCTTTTATTTTCTCTTTCTATGCTCTTTTGCTAACTCTCAATGTCCTGCCTCAACCTACCAGCTAAATTCTGGAAGATATGGAACCCTGACCTTATTTTGTTTCACTGTATTCCATCCTTGTTTTCCTGCTGACTGGATTAATTTCTTTAATCACAAATTAATTCCCTATTGAATTAGGTCCCTAGACACTTTACTTCTGGTCTAATTTATTCTTTAGTTGCTCTTCTTCCTTTTAAGATATGATTAAGCTGCTGATTTTACAATTTCAAAAATCTAAAATGCAAATGGATTGAAAATATCTAAATTTAAAATTTTTTATCTTCATAAGCATTTTTAACCCTTGATCAACATTTCCAGGTCATCAACTTGAAACCTTGTTATAAAATTTGCTGCTTCTTTCCTCTAGCCTTATAAATTGCATTACTCCATGTCTTGATCTCTGATTAATACTTCCCAGTTGTTACATTTATCTCTCCATTTCTTTCCCAGACTATAGTGAACATATGAGTTTGGATTTGGTTATTTCCTACTAAATTGCCTTATTAGAAATGACAAGTTTCTTATGGGGTTCATTTATCCAATCTTCTCTGTACAAGACAGGTGCATATGAATAACCTCTGCTTACTTGCCTGTTTTTCCTCTAAATTCCATGAGAAATAGTGCCTTCCTCTTCTGCCAAGAGACTTCACATATCATGATCTCTAACCCAACTAAACAAAATTCTTATCTTTTCAATTATTTCGTTATCATCAAAGTCATCAATATCATGTCACAAATCACAACTTTGTTGCTATTACTTTTATCTGCTTTATAAATATGTGCTCACTTAATTGTCAACAGCCCCAAAACATAAACACTTGTATTTTTTCTTGGTAGATGATGAAACTGACACACAGAAAGTCAAGTGTTCAAGGCCACTTTGGGAATCGTGGCTTTCTTAGTGGGGACTGTCATTGATGATGTCTTAGCTCCTGGGTTCCGATCGGCATGTGTGCACTAACATCACAACTCCCACAGAGACCCCAGCCAATGATAGAATGCAGCAGGGGTGCCAGAT